ACGGCCACGGGTACTCGATGACGACGTAGCGGGGCCCGCTTTACAACCCGCGGCTGCGCCGGTACTGGAGTATCCCTCCCCTACACCGTAAACGAGTTTTTGGTTCGTTTTATTGTCCATAATAATTCATAAAGAGTCGCCGAGGTCTCCATCCTGGGTTTCCATCCTGGTGCCACTCACTCGTTCGCACCGTAGGGTAGGGGTAGCCCGGTCAAGGCTGGTGCAGGGTGACGGGGAGCCCCACAAGAAGGTGAGGTGAGTGGTCTCGGCAGATACGCCAACCGGGCCCACCAACTTCTTCGAAGTTCTCCGCACCGGATCGGCAATGGCGGGTGCCAAAGGTGCCGACCAGCCACCATCCGGCTATAGGAGAATATCAGATTTATCGGGGTTTCCCAGGGCGTGGTCCTACGCCCTGAGAACCCGTACCAGCCTCGTGCTCCCCACAGAAAAAGAAACTAAATTAGATCTATGCACAGAAGAATTTCAGCTTCATTATCTTTTATATCTAACGGGACAAGCAAATACTCCACAGTTTCTCATTTAGTTTCCTATTTATGCAACTTTCAATGTTGTTACACTATTACTTACACTAATATTATTACTCCTCCCATTTCGCATTAAGTTCTTGGCCTGTCCCATTATAAGCCAGTTCTTTGACATTGCAATATCCAAACTATTTTCCATCTGTTGACCTTTCTGTCTATTTTTTTGTGTGCACATACACATTGACGGAATCATGACGACAACTTCCGATTCGTGGAACCCGATCAACCAACCACGATCACGGTATTGTATAGCTAGCAAAGGGTGATGAGGGTCAAACTCCACGACCCGAGATCGTCGACATCGTCATAAATTCTCGAAAAAATGCCGACTTGCATGGCAGAGAAAATCTCGTTATTGACTTTGAGAGTTCAGTCAATCGATACAAAGAGTTTCAAATATAAAATCTGTTATTTATAATTAGTATAAATCTAGAATCGTATTTCACGCGTTTTGTGATGAAAAGCTTGTCATTGCTTGCACTGTAGTACAAATTTTAAGACATATATATATTTTATTCTAAATTCATGGTGAACGTTGTTGAAATTTTCAATGAACGTAAAATTATATTAGATGATACAATTGGTTCTTACACGATCACGCCGATGTCCTGCGGTAAATTTATACAATTCCAAACATATACTAAACTGCTATAGTTCTAAGAAATACATACTAGAGATGGTCTTGTTTCTCTAGAATTACCAGAAAATCGCCAGAATAGCTGATATTACATATACGATTCAAAATTAATTTTATTTGAAATTTATATAATTACAAAAGGAATTAAAATTGTATACATACTAATAATACATTCCTAGTTAAAAGATATCCAATAAATCTCTATAAAAAGCTTCTTCTTTTAAATTTAATATTTCAAAATTGTGTAGAAATCTTTTACAACATTTTCTTCACTTTTTTCTAAATAAATTCTACAATAAATAGTTAATCCAAATTCTCAATTGTATCGTTCTCGTTATTTTCTTCATAGGAGGCATCCAACTTTTCTTCGACGATTTTCCCTGGATTTCCGGATGATCCGTTGCTATTTCGCAAAGCATCCTCTGGACTAGTCGTCGATTTCTGTCGTACTATCGCCATTCTTTCGTTGATTTCTTCGTTTTCGCTCAATTCCGCGTTGTATGCATCCTCGTTGCTCGAGTCTGGTTTATTCTCTTTCGAATTCTCATTATCTCCTTTTTTTGAACGGGAAGACTTAGCCCTGCGATTTCTGTGATCCTCTTTTCCCTTGCCCACATCGTATTTGTACGAGTTTCGCGTATTTCTTATTTTCTTCTGAGTCTCATCGATTTTGTTGCTCGGGCTCTTGGACAGCGTTGATATTATTAACTTATCTCTGAAACAGAACATCAAATTATTTTTCAAGCATTTCGTCATTTTGTTCGTGAGTACCCATTGCATCATTTTGCTCATAGTAGGTGAAATTTATAGATATCTTGCCGTTTTGTTCGTAAACACCCACTTGTTTGTTTTGCTATCCATAGACCATGATATTAGATCACTTTGTCGTTTTGTTTGTGAATGTCCGTAGTTTTCTTGTTATGTAATGAACTATTTTATCGACGAATAAGACTATAGTAAATATTTTAAATAAAATGAATCGCTTTTCAGTAATTATAATATTAGAGAGATAATTTAGAAATTACGATTACATGGAAATATTAACATTGTTAGTGTTTACAAATCTCTATATTCGAATCTCGATTTTGTTTCAACAAACCGGAAGATATTAGCTATTTTAAGAAAAACTTTAGTACAAAACTGAAATAAGACAACATTTCTCAAAATCAAGATATTTTTTAACGATATAAAAATATAATTAGTACGATAGTGATCTGAAAAACATAATAAGGTTTAAAGATGCATTGCTACATTGCGGGTGTTTATACAATTAGAATTATGTAGATTTACAATATAATTATGAAGTTGCAAATATTATAATTGTATAAAATTCATATATAATATGCAAAAATATAGAAAATAACAAAAATATGAGAATGTATAAAAATCAGCAATCTAACCATTAAAACAGAATTCTAACGATTTTAATATTGGAAAAAGATTTTAGTTAGTATTCGATTGATTAAACTCTCATCAATTATTCAAACTTGACAAAACATCATTAATAGTAGAAAAAATTAACCAGCAATGAGCAAAAAAGGCCTCATAAAAATTAACTAATGGTCCGTCACAAAAAGTGCAAGCATACCCAAAGATATTTGCCCCTAATTTCCAAAGCTCTTGTAAATCTACAAAAAGCAAAGAATAACATAAGAAGCACATAACAGCGTTTAGATCACTAACTTTTTTCCTTTCCTAGTTCTCCTTTTTCTGCTCTCCCGTGGAGTACGTTCCATGGTTTTCTTCCTGGGACTCTTCTTCGCCTGAATCGAATTTTTCGAGGTCTTCCTTCTTTTTCGAGGCGGAGTTTCCGGATTTGGTGTATTTTCACGGCGTGTGATGTTCTTCGTGTCCCAAGGAGGGGTCAATCGACGCCGTTTCTGGGCATCAGCTATCGGGTCTTCTTCACCTCTTCTGGCCCTCCTTCGTCTTTTCCGTGATTCTATGTCACTCTTCTTCGATTCTATCAACGTTGGAGATACTCGTATCACTTGTCCTTGTGGACCAGCAGGAATTAGGTAACCGGATTTCACGCCGAAGGAAAGTGCCTTGCGGATGTACTTCTTCGCTTGCCGTTTTCCTAAGGATTAGGTAAAAAGTTTGTCGCGCTATAGAAACTTTATAAAGGTTAATAGAATCTGAAATGAATGATGAAATTCTGTAGATTTAAAAAACTAACTATAATCGAGTTACATTGATATAATAGACGTGTAAATTGATTCGGTGCCTTTAGATTTATCCGTCGCTAATCTAAATTCACGTATTTCCCTGCTTTATGGAAATTTTGAAACGCGTCATCTTCGTTTATGTTTTATACGTTGTATTTTGATGACTAAATTTATATTACGTGATCGTCAGGTTGATAAAATTTCTTCTTACGATATTAGATACAATTAAAAGAATAAACTGAGTTAAAAAATATAAAGAATATTAAAAAGTTCCATTTTTAGAGATGTAGTTAATTTTTTATGACTATCAAAACTAAAGAAAACTTAAAAGAAAACTTGTACAAAATTTGTGTATAGTAGTCTTTCTATTTCCTCGAAAGTATCCCTGACAAAAAATTGATACCAACGAACAAGGCCTCGAGCTTCTAGCAAATACCGGGATTAGAGAGCATCCAAGCGATACCTTCCTCTATTCCGGCCTTGATGTAATTGTTGATGACCTGAACGAAAGATTTTTTCTTCAGCAAGGCTCTAGTGTTATCGATCGTCTTCGCGAGAGCAATCGGTTCCATGGAGACATTCGAAACGCTGCTGTCGTCAGAGCTGCTGACTACTGAGCTATTAGTGGCTTCCATCTCTCTCGACAAGTTCTCCACGGACGTTGCCACGGATTTTGTGTACTCTGAGTCCTGAATGGACGGCGAGCTATCGCGATGGGGCGAACTATCGTATGAGGACTCTCGTGTATTTTGGTATTTCCGCATGCTTCCGTGAAACCTGCCGCCTCCAGGGACTTTTTGCTTTTTTCCTGAAAGAGATTCATAATTGTTATTAATGTTCTACATGTTCGAAAGCTGTAATATCGTGTGAAATATTCCTTTTTCTCACAAGAACAAGCAGTCTAGAAGACTAGTGAATGCTCTATGAATGGAAATAACTACATTTTTTGCGTTTCAAGTTTTGTTCTATTAAATAAATTTCTTTATCTTTTTACTGTGCGGCAATTATCTTAGATCTATTCTATTATTCAAAGATTAATTTGTATTATCGCAAAATTTACTACCAGACATCGATAAAAAAAAACTTCTGAGGAAAAAAGAAATTAAATCTTTTTTTTTACACGCAGCTCTTTTATTTTCATTTCTAATAATATTCATTTCAATTGTTTTAATTGAAATGTATTGTATCTTCTTGGAGACTATAAGAAAAATAATATTATCGACGAGACTTGTTATGACAATTCATTATGCATAATATAGCACCTTGGTTATGTTTGCTGTTGAGCAGCCTGTACACCATTTCTCGTACACTCGTGGGTTGATAAAGAGTCTGTACTCGGCGTGGAATGTTTTGTCGCTTAGGACGTTGTTGATAGCTATAACGTGGCCCTATTATTTGTTTCTTCCAGAGTCGGCCTTTTGATTTCCCCTTTGGCGGTGCCATTATTCAGTAATGACACTTTTTTTCTTCGTCCCGTGGATTGCTTCTCGCTGAAACAGCGGAGTTGTTGTCGCCGTTGAAAAACACTCGTTTCCTTCGGTTCATCGATTAGCAGCTACGTCATGTTGTATAAAAAGATGTCACATGTTTGCGTTTTTGTTCAGTGCCAAACTTTTGTCGAGTTTACTAATTCATTCTTAAAATATTATTATTTTTCAAAGATATTATTCGATATTATTCGATTATTTCGAAGATAACAACAAAATATTGGAAATCTAATATTTCTATGCAAAACAAATTATAAACATTGTACTATATATATATAGTACAATATTTAGTATATTAATATTGTTCTACTTTTATTACTATTAGTATTATGCTATATATATAGTACAATAGTACAATGTGTGCGTGTGCGCGCGCGCGTGCGTGTATGTGTGTATGAATATATGTGTATGAAAGTACTGAAATTTGTTTGATGTTATTTGGACACTGACATTTTAAGCTATTTCAATTTTGGAGGGCCTTTGTGCAATGGTCTTTGATACTTAGGGTCATTTGAATATCATGAAAGGTCATATAAATCGCATGGGTACTTAGGGTGATTTGAAGATCACAAGGTTCATCGAGATCGTGTCGTAGCCAGTTAGATCAGAGTTAGTACGTAACATTGAAAATTTGGTACTGAAGATTATTTAAAGGTCATGAAGGTTCATCGAGTATTAATCATCAGCATTTCATGCAACTAGGAAGTGCCATATACATCATGGTGAGAATTTTCTGGATACAGGCTACTTGGAAAATATATTTAGGCAATAACTTGCTTGCTGTATGAGTTCTCCGAGTAATACACAGGAAGATCTGTCACGGTCCACCATCTACAAATCCTAATCATCCTTATTCAATTCCAATTCGAAATAGCTTTCACAAGTCCAGTATATATATCACAGATTTATTACTCTTACTGCGGCCGAATTTCACAATCGTGAAGACGTCAACCTTGGCTTGCTCAACTTAGTATCCGATGGATCTAAGTGTAGCGAGTCTCGAATCGTCTCGATAAGGTTTCCTTATTGCGGAATTAAGGATGTCCTGTTTTGTAATTTCGTGACTCTAACTGTCGTATTTTGCAACGTGCACGTCTTTTTTAATTTCAATGTATCCAATTTTCGTCATCATCATCTGAGGATTTCGCAATTATAAAATGAATCAAGCAACACTATATTGCCATCGGCGGTATTAGCAATAGCGTACTATCGTTCTTGTCAAATATCCAAGCTATTCCAGAGTTTCATCGAATTTTACAAATCCAAAATTCACCCCACTTATCCTTGACATAAACGTTGTCGAATCCCGCAACAAGAGATTCTGCCAACCTCGCTATCGCCTCGAGCTCGTCGTTATCACCGTAGAAGCTATCTTCATTCTACTTTCGTGCATTATAACACTCATCTCATAATGTTTCCTCCGTTGTACATAGTATTGAAAGTTAATTCGACAACAATTTCCTTATCAGACTTTCTCAAAGAATCTCCCCTTGCAGATGATCGTCGAATTTTAAATTTTATACAAGTTATCTAAAATTTTGATATATAGGATCTGTGATCTATACATCTGGTTGTAACAATCTGATCACTAGAATACGGATATTTATGCAGTCATATTTTGGTAAATGCAAGTAAAAGAATGGAACTTAGGTAGAAAATAGTTTTATTCTATTTTGGATATTTTTCATGTTTTTTGCGTATTATCTGTATTTTCTACATTTTTATTTTTAACATTATTTAAAACAATTTTTTGATCTTTATTTGAAACTAAGTTTCCCATAAATGCATAAAATTGACAATATTCCTAATCACTTAAAGATTATTACATGTATTATACATGAGAGCGTCTTTCTTGCAGAATCACTGCTCGATTTATTGTACTTTAATCGTTGTTCGAGCAGTTAGCTCGTTTGCTACTTTTGGCCAGTCTGTGTATCGATCAACTGTCACGTGGACGAAAAACTTTCAAGCTTTGTCCTTGACTATGCAAAGCCACCCAGCGCCCCTCGCGAATTTAACGTTCTTCGCGCTCGACTGGCCACAAGGGAGAGTGTCACGGCTCTGTGAATGCCTCGCCGTTGGGATTGTCGCGGATTTCTGTCTCGTTCGAGTTGAAACACCAGTCAAGAACGCTTGATGAAACTCGTCCGTGTTAAGAGACGATGCATTTGCTTTAATTCGCCCTTCACGGAAACGTCGCTCGATTAAACAATGAATTATAGTTGAAAAGCTTCTTGATAGGTTGATGATCGGTACGGTGTTAGGATGAAAACATTCTAGTTCAATGATGTCAGATAAAACAGATGGGGAAGTAATGGATCGAACGTGCAGAATTCAAAGAGAATGGAGGTTTATTATAGTATTAGGAAGTCGAAGATTTATTGCAAAATAAAAATTCTATTGCTAGGTTAAGTATTGGTGTATAAGGGCAACTGACTTTAAGGGATGGTTAAAGGGATTCTTTAAGAAATGAGCCAACTTTTTACGATTTGAATCGTTCTCCCAAAACGAAAAGTATATTTTTTACATATTATTAGCTTTTTCTATAGTCTCAGGAAATTTAAAAATTGTCGTAGAACGTGTCAGAGAGAGAGAGAGATTATTCCCTTCTTTTTCTATCACATGTTAGATACTATGAAATCTGTGAATAAATAAATATAAATATATGTTGGTAAGCAATTAAATCGTAAGATGTGTCAAATTAATTATACTATGTTATGTCAAATATTATATCATTTTAGTCGTGCACTATAAAATTTCTTTTACGAAGAAACGCATCGTTATTTTCATTTCTTCTGCGAGCTCGTAGAATATCGAAATATGTCTCTCAGGAGCAGTTCTTTTTTGTACCTTTCCTGAGAAACTAGTATGTATTCCATTTCTATATCGTGGAAGGCCAATAACGCTCGAAGGGTTAAGAAACATTACCAAATATAGAGAAACGTCTCCAGTTACGTTCTTACATACGTATATTGCAATAACTATTCCAAAAGGAAAGAAGGAAATGCTAAGTAAAATCGAGGCGTTCAAATGAGAGCCAAATTTAAGAACAGCAGATTTGCTTTGATGTATCGGCATTATCTTAAATGTACGTAAATATTAGCAATCCTTAGTTATTGTTCGTCATTCGTGTCTCCGTAAAAAAAATTCACATTAGCGAACATTGGCGAATGTTAGGCAACATTTTGAACAGCGAGTATGTACTTCAGTATACAATTAAAAAGAATAGCGAGCGTTTGAAGTAGTGTTGACACATTAAAAACAATGGCAGTTCATTTTTGTTTTTGCACGTTCGGTGGAGATAAATGGCTATTCACCATTTCTACAGATCGATGGTAAATGCTCAGGTACACGTTTTCATTCACAATCATTTATCTGACACGGATATTCAACAATGATGAAAATTTTCATAAACGTTTACGAATGTTTATGAACGTTTGTTAAAAGCACGCGTTTGATGGTTATCCGACATTTAATATACGAAATTATTTTAAACAATTGCAAATACAATTATTCGTAAATATTCACAAATGTTTGTTAAAATGAATATTCAACTTTTAATACATCCACATAATATATCTCACTTCAAACACTCGCAAATGCAATTATTTACGAATGTCTGCAAATATTTGTCAGAAGCTCTTGTCACTTATAAATACTACAATGATACACAATTATTTAATATAGTTCGCACACACTTCGTGTTTCCATTGATACAAATACATACTCGCGAACATAAGCAAACATTCTCAAACATTTTGCACGAATATCCAGCTCTACATCCTCCGTTCTAGAAGCCGAGTGATTCTATGTACGCTTTCTTTTCGACATAAAATACGTTTTGAAGGACGTGTAGCAACACACGAACGAAAGAAGTTCGCCGTGATAGCGAAAGCAATGTCCCGTGGAAATGTCTTACTTTCCTCTTAGAAGGACATCGTAAACTAGCGGTTGCAGGTGAACAACGAAGAATCCTCCAGGGAGGCTTTTCTTCTCCCTAAGCCGAGACATTAAAGGAAGTCTCGCGTTGCTTCTCACCCTTACGGTCGAGTTAACGTTTGCCGGTTTGCAGCTTGTGAAAATAGGTCAAGCATCGAACGATTGTCCGATCCGACATCTCGCGTCGTTAATGGCTTGATACAAACGTCGTCATGCCTCGTTTGAGAATGGAGTGTATATATGGTTGGATTCGGATGATTATGGCAGTGAAAATGAATTCGTGAGTCGAGGATGGATAAGAGGTTTCGAAGCTTACAAATAAAAGACGTGTTAATTTGTTGGAAATGTTAAGTGCGAAATTTAAGGAAAATTTAATTTAGAAAATTACATAGGTGATGTAACAAACACGATGACATTTGACAAACATTTCTAAACATTGTTTCCATACGAATAATCCATCATTGACCATTTACGATCTCTTGAAAAATTTTTTGTTCATTCGCAATCCACAAGATTGGAAAATTTTAACATTGCAAACGTAGCAAACTTCGTTATCAGGCCGATGTTCATAGTAAATAATCTTTCTCCAATTCCGTTAAATACAGCCGAAAATACATCATCTATCATAAAACAAACTTTCTGAGCAAACTAATATGTGAGAAGAGATTTCTTGTGATTATGAAAAAGGAGGTGATATCTATCTCCATGCTTTCTGTAAAGACAGGATCGATAGAATATAATTATAGTGATTCTTATGGTGGGAAGTTTAGCAACTTTGGTGGGAATTGGGTTTGTGTAGTCTTCTGTGTGTGAAGATACTAAGGCGAACATTTAGGATCTTCGACAGGAATCGAATTTGGGTAGTCTTCTGTGTATGACGGTACTAAGGCGAACGTCTAAGACTAGGATCTTTGATAGAAATTGAGTTTCAGTAGTCTCCTTTGTGTGTGAAAATATTTAAATGAAGATTAATGGTAATTGCTAAATTGATTGGACTTTTTTTGTATTAGAGAAGGGCGAACAATTCTTTAAATTAAAGAGCGTATAACAGGCGTGTAACAAATTCAAATTAAAACATTACATTTTTTAAGAAAATTATATACGCAGGAACACATTTCAATATCTGATTCATAAAGTAAATAAAAATGTCTCACATTCAGTGGGGACTATGGTTTGTATTTTCTTAAATCTTCTAATAGATCAACTTTTTTTAGTGTTAAACAAAAAACAATTTCTGGTATACATAATTTAAGATGTTTTATTGTTGAAGTTCCCATCGTCTCAGTGACTGGTTGTTCGGGTTTCTCGAGATCGGGTTGAATTGGCAGTGGGACAAGCCTTTTGACAGCCCGATCTAAAACGCCCTCTGCCGTCTGAATTGTAGCTGTCCGGATGACACCATCGGCGCCTGGATGAACCTTGATAACTCGGCCCAGAGGCCAATGCATGGAGGGCATGTTGTCCTCTCTGAGGATGACGATTGTGCCCTCTTGGATGCTGTGTCCACCCTTGCTCCATTTATTGCGGTTGGTTAGCTCGTTCAAATACTCCTTATGCCAACGGTTCCAAAAATGCTGTTTAAACTGTTGGATATGCTGCCATCTGGAGAGTCGGTTCGATGGAATGTCTCTGAAATCTCGATCACGTAAGCACATTAATGATTCGCCAATGAGGAAATGTCCGGGAGTGAGGACTAGGAGATCATTTGGATCGGTGGAGATGGGAGTTAGCGGGCGTGAATTGAGGACTGCTTTTATTTCTATGATGAGAGTATTCAATTGTTCAGAGGTGAGTAACTCGTTGCCGACTACACGCCTAAGGTGGCGTTTGAATGACTTCACCGCTGCTTCCCATAACCCACCGAAATGCGGGGAATGAGGGGGAATGAAGCGCCATTCGATTTGTTTGTGGGCTAAAACCTTCGTCGAGCGATAAATCTACGAAGAGCGGCGATGAAGGCTTCGCTAGTGAGATCGTCAACGAGCTCGATGTGTACCGCTTTAATTGCTAGGCATACGAAGATGGCGTCGTCCGATTGTAATAAATCATGAAGCTCTCGTAATTCGTTGCTTGCTCCTCTGAAGTTGGTGCCGTTATCAGAATGGATGGTGGAGCAATACCCTCGTCGAGCGATAAATCTACGAAGAGCGGCGATGAAGGCTTCGCTAGTGAGATCGTCAACGAGCTCGATGTGTACCGCTTTAATTGCTAGGCATACGAAGATGGCTACGTATACCTTTATCTGACGACGGTTAAGATCTCGTTTTTCCTTGATATGGAACGGGTTGAGTCGCGTGAGCTTACCCTTTATCGCCGCGTTCCGATCTTTTTGGAGTGTACGAATTTCCTCGGAGAAATGGATGTTTTGCAACAATTTTATTAGCTAATCGTGTGTTATGCGTAATTCGGTAACGGTTAGGGGTGCCGCTCGGTTCTTTTTCTGTTTCCAACGGAGCGGATAAACCGAACGTTACGATGTTCGTGTTTCTGAACGCTCATATGTTCCTGTTTCTCCACTCGCGCTGCGCCATAATATCCTTTGATATTTCTGATCCTCTGGTCGTACGAGGAATTGCCGATACATTTTTTCGAGTCGCCATCATTGTCGCCAGTGAGTACGTATTGATGAGAGCGGAATTTAATTAATATACAAAATAAATCTTCCTCTAACTTGGGTCCTGTGTAAAGTGTATCGCTTAGGGAGATTCCGGTAGTGCTTGGTGCCGACC